ATAATAATAATAATAATAATAATAATAATAATAATAATAATAATAATAATAATAATAATAATAATAATAATAATAATAATAATAATAATAATAATAATAATAATAATAATAATAATAATAATAATAATAATAATAATAATAATAATAATAAAAACAGTACGTCAAAAAAATTGAAGTTTTTCCCGGGAAAAAACATTCGAATATGAAAACCTAACATTCATTTAAATTTTAATTAACAATTGCTTAGTTAGGCTTAATGTGGCATAAAATTAACGACTACGTATTGAGGAGGAAAAAACGACGATAATTATCAAATAATTATATAATAGTAATAATTTTTATTCATTAAATGATCTCGTTTATGTATTGGTTGTATAGAATTAATTAAATTTTTGTTTGAACAATGAATATTGATGATTAAAAATGATATTGTTTTATCTGCTGGGAAAAAAAAAACGAAAACTTTGGTAATTGATAAAATGTACTTCAATGTTTAATTATTTCCGAACATTTCATTTCACTATTTGCATTTTATCCTATAGGAAAAAAAAATTTTTATTAAAACGAAAGGAAGCAATATTTATTCACAATATTCTATTAGTATCTATTTTAAAGCTATTTTTTTTCTAATCTCTTAAAATCTTTTGAATCATACTTTTTGTTTTTTGCTTTTTTTTTTCTCTTTTTTTTCTTTTTTTCTCAAAGCAAGTACTGGGAAATATGAGATGATGGAATTAATTTATTAATGATTTGGAAAGAAAGATTAATATTTTGTGTAATTTATCATTACATTAGCAAATTATTAATTATCTAAATTGTATGCATTATTTCCTTTTGCTACCTATCTATCTCATTACAATAATATTTTTTGAAGTGTTAGAGAAAAATTTACGAATAATGAAAACTTGCACAAATGCTGTACATAGAATAACAGTTGTTTGCATCAATGAAAATATGTCAATATTATTGGCATTTTTAATTTGCAAATGTATATCACGTGTTGATTTAAGTTGTTTCAATGCAAATGCTGATGTTGCTATCTTTTCTCTTAAACGATTAATCGATTCCTGCAATTGATTAATTTCTTTAATTCTATATTAAAAAATCTAAATAAAAAAAAAAAAATTAAAAAGATACTAAATTTTTCTAAAACTTTTAATTAACACCATTGAGCATACGACGCTATGCAATACGAAAGATCTCAAATAATTTTTTTTTCTTTTTTCTAATACCTATATATATATATATTACACAGATTTCTTCCTAAATTTTCTGTAATTCATATTAATATTATTTGTTTATTCCTTCAAATTTCCATATCGAAAAATCTACGATAAAAAATTCATAAAATACAAATTTTTTTTTTAAAACTTTTAATTAACCATATCAAGCATATGACGCTATGCAATGCTAAACATCTCAAATTAGTTTTTTTTCTTTTTTAATATACATATTATACAGATTTTCTTCCTCCAATAAATATCCTACTTTAATATTGTTTGTTGATTGTTCATTTTCTTTTTGAATTTGATCAGCTTTGTTCTTTGATCCTTGATGATTAGCATAGATAATCAGCATTAAACGTACATGTGATGTACTTGTTATGTCAACTTTCGTACAAATTTCATATACACCTGAAATTGTCAGGTGCAGCACATTTCATAAGAACATCCAAATATTTTCTCAATTCGATTATAACTTTCATTCTATAAACGGAAATTATTTATAACATTCCGGAAACTACATGTATCATTTAAATTCTACTTGTAACATTCCGGATTATCCATCTATTAGTCTCTAAATTATTATTAACCTTCTTCTCGTAACAATCCACTGAATTCCGCCTGATTAATTCCTTTATACCATTTACTGATAATTTTACTTGGTGATCTAATTCGCATATGTATCATTTGTGATTCAATATCAACGGCCTGAAATGTTTTCTTTTTTTTTAGTATAAATAATTTGAAAAGGAAAACTTTGCTTAGCCTTTTTTTTCTCGGTAGCTTTGCAAATATTTCAAATTTTCATTATGCTGATGCTAAAATCCTGAATTTGAAAATTAAAGTTAAAAAAAAAACCTTTTATATAACGAAAAAGAAATAAAAGTTGAAATGGTATTTGATATTAAAAATAACAATCGTATTGATAAGTAAAAAATTTCTTTTTTCCTTTTTTTTTCTTGAGAAATACCAATAATGCTAATGTTGTTAATTAATATTAACTTTAAATTGGAAATTAATTATTATGAAAACAATTGATGGATATTATTCGTATTGAATTTAAAAAATTTTTTAAAATGAAACAATAAATGAATAAGTATTGGAAAAAATTTCCTCCATACTTATCCTTTAACATAAACATTTTTGCACTTCTTCTTATCCAATTATTTCTAAAATAAAATTTACCCGAATAGAAATACTTATATCGGTGTAGAGTAAGAAATTTTCATAGAAACAATTTAATTCTTTTGAGGAGAAAATATCAAAAAAAAGTTCCGTTATAAAACCAAACGTTTGACCACCGGACATAATATTTTGCGTAAAACCTGAGCATGTCGTCAATAAAGTTATAAACCATATCAAATACATCTAAAAAAAAAAAAAAATAAATTTGAAATATTAAAATTTTAAATAAATTATTCAAATATATTTTAATCTTATCAATTGTTCATAGTAATTTCAAGATATTGATAAAAGAGAGAGAGAGAGAGAGAAAAGTCTCTTTAATCATTTTGTCATCTTTCAGAATCTTTAAAAAGAAAAAAGAAAAAGAAAGGAAGAAGGAAAAGTTGTCAATTTCATGTTTACATTGTGATATCATAGTTAATGTTGAAAATATGTAAAATTTAATCTAATTACATGCTTTTTCTTCCTTTTTTCTTATCTTAAAGTTAGAATAAAAGAATTGACAATTTTTTCTTTAGTTTATTTTATTAGAAATTGTTTGCAAATTTTTTTAAATTAAAAATTTAATTAGAAACAATTGATTTAAAAAACGAAAAAAACTTATGAAATTAATGAAAACTTTACAGGCAAATGAAAAAAATAAAATGATAATAAAAATTTACCAAAAAAGAAAAAAAAGCAATTCAAACAGTTCTTAAATAGGAAATATACTAAACCATTTTGTGTATTCAGGTGTAATAATGAAATGCTATTTGTTAGGATAGAATGACAAGCTGTGCTAACAAATTATCATTACAGACATTGATAATGATTAATTTTACCTCATAATACTATATAGGATTGATTAAATTTTACAGTGATATTGATTTATTGGATTAAGCTTATCAATAAAATTCACTCGTTTATTGAGCTTTACAGTGATATTGATTTATTGGATTAAGCTTATCAATAAAATTCACTCGTTTATTGAGCTTTACAATGATTATAGTTTAATGATTGAAAGCGATTTTTTTTTTGACAAAACTTTTTGTTATTTTGTTTTGTTTAACTGATTATATTCATACAAAACCATTTAGTGATAAGTCTTTTAAGGTTTTATCACTATTACTGATCATATTCATGTCATACTATTTAGTGATAAGTTTTTTAAGGTTTTTATCACTATTACTGATCATATTCATGTCATACTATTTAGTGATAAATCTTTTAGGGTTTTATCACCATTACTGATCATATCAGTTATATAATGTAATAATAAATATAAACCATTTTTGCCACAGAATAGAACTACGAATATTTGCTGATGTGAAAAAAAAACGTGGTTTGTGCAAATTTAATATCCCAGCACTTTGCGGTCACTCGTTGCATGACCAATGAGGATATGTTGAGTGGTCATGGTTCTTGTTCTCTTTTTTTTTTTTGTCATTGTTGTAGTTTAACATTGGCGATTTGGTGCTCTTTTGTATTATGCTTAGTGATTTTCTGTTATGGTCACTTTACGCTATTTTTTTTATCATACATAATAGTTATACAAAAATTGTTTTTTTTTTGCCTTTCATTATTATCATGAAAAATAAAAAGAAAAAAAGAAATCAAATAATATTCATTTTATTTTGTGAAATGATACTGCAATAGAATGATGTGAATTATAATAATTATATCGAGTATGATAAAGTGTTATCATAGTTGACAGATTTTTCAATATGCCAATTTTTTTTTATTCTTTTCAGAGAATTAATCAAATTTTCTTGAGTCTGTGATAAATTAAAACGACTTCATACGATATATGCTGGGAACAGCGTGAATTTTGGATAGAAGAAGTAAACGAATATTTCCTCAGCTGAAATTCAGGGAAAGATGTCTTCTGGTTCATTTCCTTTTGTAATTCCGGAAAGGTTAAATTCATCAATTTTTATTATAGCAGTCGAAAAAAGAGAAAAACTAAATAGTATAAATCAGAATTGTATATTTTCAATTCTTACTAAACAAGTTAGCTCTTCTAATATTGTTAAATTTGTTGTTGAAAACACAAGAACTTATCACTTAGTCGTGAATTTGATCCTAGCTTTCAAATTGTTTTCCGACTTCAATAGGTGATTTGTTTTTAAAATCCTTTTGAAGAAGGTTTAACTCAATATCAAATTTTGCTATCCGAAACAATATATCGTATATTCCAGTTTACGATCAAAAAAGACGTCAAATCCATTATCAAAATTAACCGGTACTACACGTAAACCCTATGCTCCACCAAGACGTAAAGGATATAACGATCTGGATGACCCACTTGGTTAGTCGTTAAATTCATTCAGATGATAGTCATATTTTTTTTCTTCCATTTTTGCCTCCTACATGCTGTTAGCATTGCTATCGTTTCAGTAATATCTTTGTGGTGCAAAATATTAACATGCTATCTAAAAAGATTTAGTGTGGTATTTGTGATTAGTTTAGATAACGATAGATCCGATCGTTTAATAATGCCATTAATTTTCTCATTTATTCCTCGTCTGGCCATATGCTGTAATTCTAGGTCCGTCTTCATCATCTTCAACATCGCCATCTTCATCATTCAAGCGTCCGATCGACGGAAGGGTTGCAAGTGGTCGACATTCCGTGGCACGTGCCGCACGTGTCGTCCGAAAGAGGATGTCATCAGTGCAGCATGCTCCAAATATTACACAAGATTTGCCTTCAACAAGCATGAAGCCATCACCTTTTGGAAATTCGCAACTTGGGAAGCGTTCAAAGGCATCACTTCGTGGTACCTTACATAGTGATGTCGATAACAGATTCACCACCATAATGCGTGCAGTATGCATTTCCTTTTTTATTTTCCTTTTAGATTATCAGAAATAATTTTTGAAGTGAATGTGCCTCATATAATTAGCCGTGAAAAGTATTTCTCATAAGCCTAATTTAACTGTTTGATTTCTCAGATCGAACCGCCAAGGCCTCGGGGACGTGAATCAACTGCTAAAGAAGAAAATATGCCGAAGCTGGAGCGACATATTGAAAATACGAAGGCAGAATCGGTTGTTGAAAAGATGTCGCTGCCAAAGGGTGCAGTTGGTAAATTTCTTACTATTTACCTTATTAAGAATCTGCAAAAAGATCGGTTTTGTAATATAATATGTAATTGTTAGATCCTCATGTACCTGCATATTTCGTTATTTAATTCTTTATATATAACAGCAGTTAGAATTTAATTTGTTCAGCACGGCAGCTAAAACGTTTGATTGGACGAGTTTGTGAAACCGACTATGATAAATATCAGTTGCTAGATGAACGTGATCGTTTGATGCATAGAGGCCGTTTGAAAAGTACCGATGTTGATAATGCAATTGTTATGCAGGCAAGTAGACGATTCAAGAGTTTTCTAAAATTAAATTTAAATAAAGGAAAAGTAAAGGTTGCATGTGCTATTCGTTACTTCCATTACTTAAAAGATGATTCTGAAATTGTAAACATGTTATAAAAGTACCGATGTTGATAATGCAATTTAATTAGGGGAAAGTGATTTATTCAAAGAGAAAAATGAAATTTATGTGATTTTAAAAGCAAATTGCTTTCAATCACAAAATCATCACGATCTCTATCCTAATAATATTCAGGGTTTAGACAAATTTTTATTACGAGGAGAGGGGGATCAAAAATGAATTCGGCTTTTCTATAAATCTATCAGTTACTTCTCACATTTCTGTTAATTTCTTTGCTGCTCAGCACTTTTCTTGAACTGTTGATTTAAAGACGAATGTTAAAGAAACGAGTTTTAGGGTTCTTGCCCTGATATGTGTCCAGAGAAAGAACGCTACATGAGAGTTGTGCAAAAACGCCTCAGTACATATGAATGTCATGATGGTGGTATTATCGCGCCGGAACTAACCGTGAAAGAATACAGTAGAAGTGCAGCTGATCAAGTAAAGATGCATTTGTTAAATTTTCGGAAAATGAAAAATTTCATTAAACTTTTTGGAAAGTTTTTGCTCAGAAAAATACTGATTTGTCGTTTGAAATAGTTTTATGAGGATACATTGGAAAAATACTGGGAAGAAGTTTCAGAAACGATGGATTGTGCAAACTTCCGAATCACATTTTCCTAAGCACTAAATGAAGAGCATAAATGAAAGCAACCCGAATTACATGATTATAACATAATTGTTTTTCAGGAGGAGCCATTGCCTCACGAGCTTAGACCCGCAGATGTCCTTCAGCGAACGATGAATTATCTTGTCGGCAAAGTAAGTTGTCTATTTTTACAGCTCAAAACTACGAGCTAGATACATTGTATTCGACAATTTCAGATTGCCAATCATCTTCCGGAAACGGACGAGGAACTGGCACAATGGTACGATTTTTTGTGGAATCGAACGCGAGCCATCCGAAAGGTCTTCTTTTCGTTTTTCCAATTTGAAATATTTTTTATTAGTTTTTTATGCCACTCGATATATATGTTCCTGGACTAATAGACTAAAATCATCAGACATTCTCAGTCCATGAGCGGGCAGAATTAGAATTTTTGACAGCTAAACAAAATGAAATTGGTAATTCCGAATACTTTGTAATGTGAACGGACCCAATTATTATTATTATGCTGAAAATCAGTAAAAAGAAAAGATTTCAGGACATAACGCAGCAAATGATGGTTAACGAAACTGCTGTTATCTTGATCGAACAGTGTGTTAGACTACATATCTTTGTATCTCATCGTCTTTGTGAATTGAATTTCAATGAATTCGATCAAAAAATGAATACAGGTGCTTTTTTATTGTTCTTTTATTGATTTATATATCTATAGGATCTGCAATTGTGAGTTATCGTCATTATTTGTATGTCTACATTTCTACTGTAATAATAAACAGAGAACTTTAACCTATAGAAAATTTGATTGTTGTTACTCAAGATTCAAAATGTCCGTAGTTTCTATAAAGTATAAAGAAATCTATTCTCATAAAGCTAAGGTTTTTCAATTGCAGAGAATTTATCTAAAAGTCTGCAGAGCTTGCGTTATTTGTATGATGACTTGGCGAAGAAAGGAGTCTTTTATTCCAGTGAAGCAGAATTTCGTGCATACGAAATTATGCTTAATCTTTCGGATTCCAATGTATTCCGGTAATAGTCTCCATTTAGTTTCAGTAATAAACGAAAGCACTTGTATTATTTTAGAAGTTCCAATTCTTTAGATAATGCGAAATGCTAAGAGCATTTGTTCGGAGTGGATTTCGTTTCACTTCAATTCTCCGGGCTTTTTCAATTCGTAGATGATCAACTTTTGATTATGATTTTTTTTTCTTTTTTTGGCAGACTTTTTGTACTTCGGAAGGCATATGGGAAGTCATTTTCGGCATGCAGTTTTAATATCTCTAGGATACATGCTGCGAATGCCAGATTATTATGGCAGTGCTTTCGTTTATTTTTCACTTAATTTTTCTGTTCGCTTTTGTAAGGTTTTTTCAGGATTTTAAGTTTCAAAATTAAAATTAATTTCCAGGCAGGCGTTGACATATCGTCGAGAAATTCTGGAAGCGAGTCCAGTCCGATTAGCGATTCGTCTATTTACATGTTTGCAGAATCGAAATTATGTCCGCTTTTTCCGATTATTAAAGAACGACGCTACTTATTTACAGGTCTAATTTTTAAGTAATACTAAGAATAATAATTTATTCATCAGAGCTATAAATGATGTATCGATGAAGAACTGCTTTATTTATTGTAGTGTTGCCTTTGTCATCGATTTTTCAATCGTATGCGTCATCAAGCAATGTATGCTATATCACACTCGGTTCACATAATGGGAAAGGTCAGTTTGCTGTTTTTTCTTTCATGTTATTAAAATTGGTCAAATACTTTTGGGTAGAAAAATTTTCGGAAAGAACTATTTCCACTATTTATTAATTTTTATGCATTTTTTACAGTATCCATTGAACAAATTTGTCCAGCTGTTGGGATTTGACGATCGTGACGCATCACTGCAATTTTTGGGGTGCTACAATGTTCGTCGCAATAATGATATGGATACTGGTGAAGAGCTGATGCATATGTCAAAAACCCAACTAATTGAGCCAATTGAAGAACCTCCATCGAAGATTCATTTGTGGATTGAGGCTAAACGTGATGGATATTCCATTCCAGAAGTAAGTTGTTGGTTTCTTCGTTTTGCCTTTTTAGCTAATGTCATTCAACTATTTTATTTTCCAATTTCGTAAAATAACCTCTTTTAATAGATATTAAGCGGCTGTCAAGATGTTAAAGTTGAAATTGTTACTCCGTTGAATTCGTTCGACAGAAATGGTGCGTACGTATTTGATACCATTCTCGATGACTATATTAACGAAAATGGAGGGGAACAGTAAGTCTTTTAATTTTGTTTGAAGTTATTTAAATAAATTGTACTTCTGTTTTGTGGTTGGATCAGCAGCTTTTTTCTGCTTAAACTATCTTCAGGGGATGGCTTGTATATCTTCAAATGATTTATTTTATAATGTATATTATCTTCAGAAAACTTGTTTCATAATATAATACATATAAGGAGCATTCATTCAAGGGACTTTCACCCTATTTAGGTCATAATAGATTACATATCTTTCGGAAATTTTTGAGCCTGCAAGAAATTGCACTCATCTGAACAAAAACGAATAGCAAAAAAAGCTGTAATATTGATTGAGCAGGGACCAATTGTTCCAGAAAGTTTTGTGAATGTAGAGGTTCAAAAATCTTCTACATGGCAACATATAGAAGCTTTGTGCAACTATTTGCACAAAAGGTTGCACAAAAAAAAAGAGGTTGCACAAACCTCTTCGTTATTATGTTAATACTGAAGTTTTTTATCTTCAGGTTTGCTATACATATACATTTGCAGATTAGCTACGGATGAAGATGAGACTGTAACTTTCGCATTTACTTTGCCAACATCACAGAAGGAAAATAATGTAATATGTTGCCTTATTCAAATTTTAACTTGTTGAGTGTACAGTACTTTTGAATTTATAAATTTTATAAAGTATTAACCACCATCATTCCGACCGATAATGTATTTTGACAACTAATATTATAAGCTCATGTTAGGTTCATATATAATCGTCTCCGACGAGTACAGCGGCGGAAGATGCATTGTTGCGAACGATCGTTTAGTTAGACTAATCCTACCGATACCAGTTTTATGTATATCCTAAAATAGCCATTTTTCAGATCAATGTTTTAGCGGAGAACTTAGCAGATGATATCATAAAAGAAGAAATTACGAGATTGTGCAAGCTAACGTATAGTAAATCACTAGCTCATTCACTCACTACTTCATTGTATGATAGTATGTTGGAGGACTGCTTAAAGTTAGTTTTATTTTTGCAGTGTCACTATTTCAGAAAAGTGATTTCTAAGTATATCGAATTGAATTTGATGTTGTATTCGAAGCAAATATACCAGAAGTTCTAATTTTGAGGATTTTCAGACCACGTTGTCAGGAGATAATGATCGCCGCTAAACTGTTACATCGTCGCAAGCTAGCCGCCAATGTGGCAAAGCAAAGGGAGGATGAAATTCGGTTCTTGCTCGATTCCTTAAACGAATCAGTCATGCATGAAGTTATCGACAAATTTATTCGCGACATCAGTAAGAAATGGATAACGTAGGTTTTAATGAAAACTATTATCATATAAATAAAAACTATATTACAAATTCAATTTTTTTTTTGAAACTTTTTTCTTTGAGGCTCTCAAGAATGATTCCATGAGCTGGAATTTTCCTACAAAGGAGATTTTTTTTTTTAGATTTTTGCTTAGCTTCCAACAAAATGTTGCTGCGTAGTTCAAGTAATGGCCAAAATTTTTCTGAAATTTCTTCCAAATTTTCATTTTCCTTTTAATTTTTTGAGCAGTGTTATGGATTCCTCTTTCTTAGCACTAATGTATTTTCTAGAAAATGCCAGCGGATACATGACGAAGAACTCATTGAAGATTTTGGAAAAAACTTTCTGGATGATTTGTTGGCAGGGGTGGTAACCGAAACAATCAAGAAAATAGCAGAAAAAAAGATTGAAGAAAGTTTGAATTATATGAAAAAACGTTTGAAGGATATAAATGAACGGTTGGATAAGTAAGTTTCATTGCAAATAAAGTCATTTGCATAATAGATCTGAAATACCATTTGGATCACTCACTGATTTCACTGATGAGCCTTATAGTTCGATTTCTATTATGTACCTAGAAATTTCGATGTCGCAAGTTCGGTATTTTACAGTTTAAACTAATTTTAGGTTATGGTTGAAACAATTTGTTGATCATTGGCGGGAACATGTAGCTCACAGAAAAGAACAGGAGCAGAAGAAATTGGAATTATTAGGATCATTCCCTGTTATATTACCAGGTACATTTTATAAACATCAGTTTAAACCTGATTTTTTCAAAAAATTATCAACTTTATTGAAGGACCGGTATAGCCTTATTAAATCCTATGTTTAGTCTAATGTATATTTGTCCAACATATTTCAGCTAAATCTGGATTAATTTTTCATCGGCGAGATGGCCATTCGTTTGACAAAGCATTCATCGATTGCAGCTCCGTAAGAATTTTTTTCGTTCGTCTTACTGAAAATTTTAAATTTATGTACGTGGTTCGAGTTACAGTACCGCATTTCACATTTCAGTAGCGTACTTTTAGGGTTTTAGCCTTTGTTCGCGTCTTAACATATGAGATAGCAATCAAAAAGGAATTAACCATCATAGAAGTAGATTAACAGTTACTTCGATCCTTAAATAAATCCCATTTCAGCTGCTTTTTGAGCAGAAAATAAACACTTTCATTAAAAAAAGATATGGAAGGATAGCACGGAAAGTACTGAAAAAGTGGCGTTCATGGACTCAGTTGCAAATCGAAAAGCGAGAGTTTTTCACTGTAAGTTTCTATCTGAAATACTGTGCATTTATCTTAGTTTTTCATAAAAATTCTCACTGCTGCACATCAACTTTTGCCATATGTTTACAAAATGAAATCGAGTATTTTTTCGGCAAAAGTTTTCAGAGAAAATGATTTTTTGGCATATAATTTTCTGAATTTCGGAAAGTATTGACTCGTTAAAAGAGATTTGTCTTGAAATTTTTCATTTATTTTCCAGACTGTTTGCACAACTTCACCATTGAGATGGAAAAGGCTGCGCTATAACAATAATGATATTATTTCAAAGGAAAATGAAGATAACATTCGTTTAGCCGTAGCACTTGCTGATGTTGAATGTGAACGATTGAAACCATTTTGGACAACTAATCAAATTCATAATGGTTTTGTTTCACAAATATCTGTTTGTTCTATAAAACGCAAAAAATGTTATGTTAGGTGCTTCAATTGATTTAGGGTACTTTTTTACTTTAATTGATTTAAGGTATTTTTACTTGAAATGTGGAAAGAATCACACCTTTATTCGTATCAGTTTTGTAGAGGAGATTTTCTGGGAATTTGAGATTTATCCACTGAGTTATGAATACAGCTTCAACACTAAATCGATTAAATAATTAGTGACTATAATAATAATTATTAATATCAAATAACACTAATAACTGCAATAACAATTAATTAATAATAACAAATAGTAATAATATTTCAAAGCGAAAATGACATTTGACTCATGAAGGATTGCTTCTAGCAGTCTTCCATAAATCACTTCGATCTTGAACTTCATTCGATATTTATTTTCATACATTTCGTGTTTAGTGACGACTGCGAAAGATTCTGGAACGCGTCATTTAATCATAAAGCATTCAATTACCACGATTTGTGACAGTTTGATGTTTAAGTTATGCAAAGGAGAAAAAGTATTCTTCTAAAACTGGTTTTTTCTTGTGTCAAACTGTTTAATTGCAATATTAAGTGAAAATGAAAAATGCCTAGTTCTTGTGTATAATTTAAAACAAAAATTTTAGATTTAGAGAATGAGCGGCAGTTGTCCTGGTATGAATCACTAGCTGGACGGTCATCAGTATTATTGGATTATTTCGACGAAAAAACACTTGAAAAAGGTTGGATTGTGAAGTTTTTAAATGCTTGCAAATTTCGAAAAAGTATTTAAATATTTGTATTGTTAGTCGTACCATTCTTTTTCCTCATTTTTTCGTGTACTACATACAAATTTTTATGAAATTTGAAATAAAAAAGCGGCTACGAAATGTTTTCCTTTCTCTCTCTCTGTCCTTCGCCTTTCTATTTCCTCATTTTCTTAAAAATTAAGAGTTCCAGTCTGGTAGATATGTTTCATATAAACTTTTGCAGATATGTATATTTAGTTTTCTTTTTCTTAGGAATAGAGATAGCGGAACGAAATATTCAACGTATCGATTATACAGAGAGGCGGATAATGAATAAGAGCGGTCCTGAATACAGTGGAAATTCGGATAGCCTGATATCCAGTCTGAGTCAGCAACAGAAATATAACAAAACTAACAAATTCAATGTACAAAATGAGGAATATTACCCTCCACGAAAAAGAGAAGTAAGTTTCAAGAAGAAGCCTGAAATATATTAGGATATATATATATATATATAGGTGTGATATTTATTGATTTGTATTGGTGCTTTGTAACCGTTCTCCATCATTTGACAGCGTGTCCAGTTTGACATACCTTTTACTGATTAAATCCCCGCCCTCACTGGTTGCAATTACTCGAATGTCTAATTCTTTTTATCAAAAAGTCTATTAAAAAAGTGCATTACGAGGCTTTTTGGATCCATTGTTTTTTCGTTAATATTTAATATTCCTTAATTTTATGTTAGTTTATTTGCTTTGGAATCTGGATTTCAAAATGGAATCCTTGGGGAAAACAGGCGTGGGAATGAAAATTTTTGCAATGAAACTTTCAGATTACTTTTTTTAAATGTATTTTTGACTTTTTCGGTTCCTGATTAATTCTAATATGCATTTTCAGTGCAAAAATTTGGAACATCTGGAGAAGCGACTGAAAGATTTCACCAGAGAGCTGGATGATGCATTCAAAGGTATGGAAGAAAGAAATCGAGCATATGATGAAATTCTCAGGTCTTTACGTGCCGACGAATAAGTATCAGCTTCCTGTGCTGTTTGATTCTGGTTTATTTGGTGAGAGAAAGAAAATGGTTATATAACAAATTTTCCAGCTTATTTTTGGGAATTCTTTTGTCGGTTTTTCTATCTATAGTCTTTTCCCAGTTTATTTGATGAAAGAAATGCTACAATAAAACTTTTAGTTAGTTAAATCTTTTTTACAAATTATCCATTTCTTCAGAATATTCATTTCCTGCTGTATCACTTTATGGAATGTTATATCAATTGTTATCATGCAATTGATTGAAATTTTTCATGTGAAAAATTTTCATAGTATTTTCAGTAAATCAGTTACTTGATTACTGGATTATTAAAACTTATCACTGTTACTGGATTATTAAAACTTATCACTGCAATAATCTTAAACTGTCGAAGCAAGAGTACCATTAGGTACGATTTTCTTCTCAAATTTACCATACATTTCGATATTGTGAGAAAATAGCTTTGTGATATAATCTCTTCTTCCATGTTGCATATTATTTTCTTAGAATTTCTTCAATAGTGGTATTTCAGGTTATATTGTCAAATAAATTGATAATCTGAAAGAGCAACATAATTAGAATTATAGGAGTACTAATGCCATTTTTTGTCATCTTGTTGCTTTATATTTTGTCAAGGCTGCAGCTACTTTGTTACTTTGTATTTTCTCTTTTATTATATTAATCATTTGTAGCTTTTAGGCTGCAGCCTAAAAGTATTAACCGGTTAAGCGGTTCAACTAACATAACTGTTGTGACATCATGGGATAAGTATAATAATGCATTGTTGTATAATGCATTAGTAGTAGTTGGCTCCAGAAAATATTGGGAATACTGGATTGTAATGGATTCTTCTTCCTCTTCTCCCCTCCTCCGTCAGTAATTGAAATATATGATTAGTTTAGACAATACCTGGAACTAATAGTTAATTCCACAATGATTATTAGTATTTTGCTGTGTAGCCTAGACTATTTGCGTGAACTGCTAGAGCATTTATGACCTTAGGCCACGAAACCATTTATCGGAGATTATTTTAACATTTAAACAAAGTAATAGCATTTTGGAAAGTTAAGCTCTTTATCGTAATATATTATTCCTCTAATATTCGAAATTGTGCTTCAGACGGATAATTTATTTTGATGAACTTTTTTTGTTTTTCTTTTTTTTTTTATATGAACGGGTCGAGCACTGTTGATATTATTTCTTCATCTATTTATCAAATTTTGCTTTATGCATCAATAAATTCTTTTTGCATGCAATCAGTTTATTTTGCAATTTCAATATTCAAAATTTGAAATGTTATTTCAAAATTTAAATTAAAAAAAAAAGAAAAAAAATACAAATGAGGAATATGTATGAAATATGTTTTATAAGAAATTAAATATTATCTTCTTGTGATAAGCATGAGGTGATTAAGATTTGATAAATTGGTAAATTCTAGTATGCATTTTATAGATATTAATCAGATTTGTAAAATGAAGATTTTTGATTGCAATAACTTTACACCAATTTACTAATTGTAATCCTGAGCTAATCAGTAGCAGCTTAAACACATCAAGCCTCTGCAAAAAGCAAAAGGGATTTGATTTATGCGAATATAAGCTAATTACAATAAGTACCATTGATAAATAAAATTTTTTTCGATTATCATTTATTTTATTTTTGCTTAGGGTCATAAATTATTATGAATATTTTTGGTTTCAATCATAAATTTTACGGTTTTGCGGTTTACGGGGTTTAATTTTACGGTTGCATTTACGGTTTAGCAGCATAAATGGACATTTGTTATTTTGCTTTCATCCAGAAAATTAGAAAAAGAAAGAAAAAAAAATCATTTTAATTGATGCACTTTTCAAATGGTAACATTCAGATTTAACAAAAACTAATTTTTTTTTTTTTTTTTTTTTTGAAAACAAAATAAATGTAATAATACGAAATTTGTTAAATATAATAAAATGGAATGATAGTAAAATGGATGAATGAATGAATGATTGTTGGCAAAGAAATTATTGGAATAAATGAATGAAAATATTTAAATTTTAAATTTGATCGATTGGTTGGTTAGTTATTAGTTGCTAATTGATTAGTTATTAAAGATGTAAATAAACAGATGAAATGTATTAAGGTTGAAATTTAGTTTTTGCATATGAAATCTACAACAAATAATTCAATAATAAAAAACAAAACAAAAAAAAAAGGAAAAAAAAGAAAGAAAACGAAGGGATAAAATCAAAAAAGAAATAATATGATCATAATGATGATAATATACTGATATGAGGCGATGATAATGATGATAATATATTGATGTGGGACGGTGATAATGATGATAATATATTGGTATGAGACGATGATAATGATAATATATTGATATTAAAATAGATAAAAAATAGAGTTAAGATAAAATAGAGTAAAATACAATAAACAAATAAAACTATCCTTCATAGTTATATATATATATATATATGCTTATATATGAGAGAGAGAGAGAGGGCGAGGGAGAGGAGGGAAAGAGAAAGAAAGAAATTAGAATATTTAATATTTTTTTTTAAGGTAAAAAATGAGTAATAATAAAATTTCCATATTTTTTTTACAAAGAAAAAAAGGGGAAATTTGTTCGCCGAACTGTGAAAGTTTTGATATTACCAAATTCTCACAATGTGAAAATTTTATCGTTTATGTAGAAAGATGATTAATTGATATTCTCATGAAAATTGATCTTTGGTTTAAGTTTTTTTTTTTAATTGAAACAATAAAATTATGATTGTATCAGTGTGTTTTTTTTTTCATTGTAATTAATAATTATCAAAAACTAATAACGAATTATTCATTTTTTATTATCCTTTTTTTTTCGCCTTCGGTTACATATATATTCTTATATTACTATTTTAATAATTTGTACTTAATTAATGAAAAAACAATGTGAACATCAATCATTGACCGTTTTTTATATATTTATGTCTTGTTCGGGATTGAAAATTTTGTTACTTTATAATCATTTAAACACATTTATTAAAAAATTACAATTAATACATAATTGAATTACTATATTCAAATTTATAAAAACTAATACTAGATTAATTAAATTTTTACAAAATACTATGTAAATTTGGCAGAAAAATTATGCAGATTCCACAAATAATATTGGAAAAACAATCATCATCATTTATTGGAAAATTATCATATACATTCATCATCATTTATTTATTGAAAGATTTATAATTACTAATTATTGAAGTGTCTTCTTTAAATTAATTAACTAATTTTGTGACAATTTTTTTCTTCAATGTTTTTCTTTTTTTGTTTCATCCATGCATTAAAATTAAAGGTAGTGAATCAAAGTGTTGAATGGAAAAAAATGGCAATATTTGATCGTTTGATAATTTTTATTTTTAGGAACAAAGAAAACAAAAGGAAAAAAAGGACGTGAATTCATCTTATTTTTCCTTGGCAAAAAAGTGTGATTTATTTAAATTATTTTAATATTAAAATTTTATTTTCATATAAATGTGAATTGATATGAACAATTTGCATAATTCATTGCAAAAATAAGCAAGCTAATAAAAGAGAATTTGTGAATTTGTCAGCAAAACTTATTAAAAAAAGCAAAAAAAAACTTAAATTATATATAAAAGGCTTTAATAATGGAAGAAATATAATTAATATAATTTTTAATATAATTTTGAAATATAATTTTTTATATAATTTCTTCATTTATTTAATAATTTCTATTCTATTCACATAATTTTTATAACTATGAAAATTTGCATTTATTCGTAAATATATTTTATTTTTTATTTTTTGAAAATTCCAAACAGAATTATGCATAAACTGCTAAATTTTGTTTATTAATTAAATTTAAATCGATAATAAATTCACAAGTGCAGTAAAAAAAAAGTGTGCACAAATGTTAACAAATAAATTTACATTTTTGAAATGTACAATTTGGATTTTGTAATTATTGATAACATTGATTAATTTATGACTAATAATAGCTAATTTATTAATTAATCCATAATTAAAATGGTAACATTAAGTAGTTTATGATTAATAATAGCATTATATCAATGATAATAACACAAAATAGCGAAATTTTTTTTTAAATTTTAAATAATCATTTTTACCATGGATGTCAAATGTCACTTTCTTCCATTATTAAATAAATTATTTTGAAATTCTTAAATTTTCTTCCTAATGATTACTACATCGATGACATTACGTGGTGCGTTATTCCGTTCACGTATGGCTACTATTCGAGAAAATAGCAGCATGATGAGTTATTTGGATAAATTTAAAAATTTTTTGAATAATATAGATTGACAAAAGTTACTAATTAAGCAAATCAAGTAATTAATTGCTAAGCAAATTTGGTGCTGCTAATTGTTAGTGTTGCAAAAATTTGGTTGAATTTGAATTGATAAACATAGTGATAAGAGAAATGAATAAGTATTGAATTTTGAAATTTTTAAAATTCTGTCAAAAGTTTGATTTATCAAAAATTATACCTTAAATTTTATAAATTTGTGTTACTTTGGTTTGATGAAACAATTTCAAATATTATCTATCGTTAGTTTTTGTTTCAAAGATGCATTTAAATTATTCGTCGCATTCTAAAATTAAATTAATTTATATTTTCTATTTCTCAATGTCAAGTGAATAATTTCAACTATACATGTTTATTTGTTTATTTATTATTTACTTACTCACTTATTTATTACTCACTGATTGCTTAATTTATTTAATTAGTTTATTTTTTATTTTCCTACTTATGTATTTATTTATTTATTCATTTAATTATATATTTATCTATTTATTTGCTTATTTATTTATTTGCCCATTTATTTATTTATTTATTTTCCCACTTGTTCATTTATTTACTTATTTATTTATTTACTTAGTTAACTATAAAGCAAATAGTTACTCATTTACTTAATCACTTATTTATTTATTTATTTGTTTACTCCCTTTTACCACTTTTATTTGTTTACTTATTTGCTTATTTTTCTACTTCTTATTTATTTACTTATTTATTCATTTAATTGCATTTATTTCTTCCATTTAATCGTTTTTTTTATTTTACTTGATTTATTTGTTTATTTATTTATTCACTTATTCATTTATTTACTTATTTATTTACTTAATCATATGTAAAGCAGATAGTTACTTAAGCATAAAACAATACTTAAGTGTAAAAGCTAATATCATTATTTATT